TTGTTGAGAGTTTCAGCCCTTGTACGAACTGTTCTCCAGTGGAATTTTAATTAAAAAGATGTTCTTTTCAGACTACGCAGCATGAAAACATTGCATACACAGGAAACTGACTGCAGGGAAAGAAGGATTGTTCCTGAGCTTACAGACCCAGTGGAAACACAACTACTGTGTTTTATTCAGAGCCATGCAAACCCTAAATCTAAAGTGATTTTAATCCTCTCAACCAGGAACTCCTGATTTGGTTCTAAAACTGAGGAAATGCTCCCTTGCCAGCACAGCTCTCAAGCTAGGGAAGGTTTGTATTTGCAATTCCCACTTGCACCTGCACTGTGTACAATAACTGGGTGCCTGAGGCCAGAGCTGCAAATTCATTCCTCTCTAGCTGAACAAACAAGCTGCAGGCATGGAAGCTCCAGGTAGCTTCAGCTTTCCCAAAAGAAGGATCCTGGACCTGCTTGCCCAAGATTTTAACTGCTTCTGACTTGAGTTTACAGCCCAACCTGAGACACAAAGGAAGGCTCAGTTTTACCAAACTGGAAGTTGGAAGTGATGCTGTAGGTACTGTAGCCCACGGCGTTGGTGCAGACTGAAGAGTGTCCAAAACAGAAACAGGGAGTACAGCCCCTTGGGTTGGAGGAATCCAGATGGAAAAACCCAGGTTTGCATCTGAAGGGGTGAAGGAAAGAGAATTCATTTCTCTGATGCTTAACCCCAGGTCATTCCTTGCATGTTTCTCGTTCTTGAAACAAAGCCATGGGCAGAGAAACTCACCTCTCACAGTGGAATCCTTCAACATTGTCCTTGCATGCACACCGTCCTGTCTCCACATTGCACTCCCCTGTGCTGCCAGCTGCGTTACAAGAGCAGGGCCTGGAGGAGCCAGGGGAGAGGATAACTCAGTAAGAGCCACACAAGGCTTTCAAAAGGTGCCCTGTTTTTCTTTCAGAGAGATGGAGCCCCCTTACCTGCACCCAGCTTCGGAGAGGGAGTGGAAGCCTGGCTGGCACCGGTCACACTTGTCACCCATCACACCAGGTTTGCAGCTGCACTGGCCATAGCTGTCACACTGAGTGCTGAGGGAGCCTGAGGGGACAGCAGGGACACACACCTCAGCACACTCACCCTGCTCTGCAAGTCTGTCAGCTTTACAAAATGAGCAAGGAATATGGGAGAAGAAAGTGGGAAGCACAAATTCCAGCTGACAAGTGACAGCTTACCCAAAGATTGCTCTAGTTCACAGGGATTTTTTTTCCCTGGCAATTCTAGACAGATGAATTGTAATCTAGTCTTCCCAAACTATATTCAGCTTCTGAGTCTTCCTACCAACCAACCTTTTTATATACAACTTTAATTTGAAATTTCATCCTCATCCTTATCCCTGTTTTGTCCTCAATGCTACCTTTGCATGCCTGTAGTTCCATGTCTGTTCTGCCCTGCAACCCTATTTTATTCCCTGAATCCCTTGTGTTCTCCCTAATCACCATCTCCTCTTTGCCAGGGAATATCCTGACCTCTCCCTTTCATGCTCCAATTTCCTCCCTTGAATCCCAAGCTGGATTTAAAGGCTAAACTGCCTCCTCAGAGTGAGGCTGCATGTGCCACTGTGAGCCCTAACAAACCCCTCATTTCTGGAAGTACATTTTCCTCAGCACTGCTCTATTCAAGTGGCCTAGCACAAAAAGCAGTAGCAGGTTCCTTTAATCCAGAGTGGACAAAATGCTTTTTCCCAAGCACCAACGTAGCCATCAGTCTCAGACCTGTGAGCACTCTAAGAGTTAACCACCAGGAGAAAAACATTTCAATATACAGAAATAGTTACTTGTTTCCACTTCAATCCACCCCAGAAGATTATAGCAAAGTGAAGAGTTATAAGATGATTAGGCTGGACAGGACAGAAAAACTCCTAAAACCTTTACCATATACAGCCAAAGTTCAAATCCCCTTTGCAGTCCCACTTAGGATTATTTAGGAAAAACACAGTACTCAGACAAAAAATAACAGTCTAAACATACCCAGGGGATTCAAATACACCCTGGGTGCCAGTGTGACACAACAAGCTGATGGCTAAGCCCTTTGAAAGCTGTCCTTAAAGACCTGAGGAGTCACCTCCCTGCATCTTCTCTGCTGTCTCAGCTGACACCAACCCTCACCCCTCTTAAAATAAGGTCTGACATGAGGACCTGGAAGAGCAGACCCAGGAAGAAAGAGACCTTTATTGGTCAAAAATTTCACAACTGTACAACTCTCTGACCAAATTAGATAGGAGATGCACCCTGGCAGACCTCTCCTTGGCTGCTTTTAGGGCATGCTGCAAGCAATTACTTATTCCAGCTACTCTGTTTTGAAACCTCATATCATACACCTTACTATGTGTTACCTTTTTCTCTCCTTCCCCCTTACTTGCTGTGTGCTGGTGTGGTTATGGGATCACTCCATGCAGGTCAAGTGGTTCCCTTGGCAACCCAAGATTTGTTCTCCTGCCAGAATTTTTTCCCCCTTTTTATTTTTTTTGAAGTAGTTTAACTCCATATTTCAAGCTTACTTTGTTCTATCTCCCTCCCACCCCTTTTTGTGTTTAATGTTTCACTGGTTTGTATTTATAGTGCTTGGATACTCAGTAGGAGAAACTGATGCAGCAGCTAAAAGTTCACTACAATTCCTCAGTATGAACAACTTCCAGAAATATCCACTCACATCATCTTGGTTATTAAAAATTAAATGAGTCCTTTAGAACTGAGAGCATCCAGGGTAACATAGAGTGGGGGGGGGAAAAAAAGAGAAATGTATTCAAGGATAGGATGAAGGAATAAAGTGCTGCAGAGGTGAACCATCTGCCACCCTAACTCCGATTAGATCCAAGGACAACTTAAACCAAAATACAACCCATTAACACGGGGGAGGGGGGAAACAGAAAGATAAAAAGAAGTAAACAAACTCTGTTTTCACCCTGCAGCTGACAGTTAGCGGCAGAACCAAGACAGGAGCTGACTTTTGAGCAGGGCAGTCTGCAGGCAGGCAGTGTGCAGGCTGTGCTTACCGACAGGGTTGCAGCTGCAGGGCAGACAGCTCTCCTCGGGGCGCTGGCGGTAGAAGCTGTCCCTGCAGCGCTCGCAGTGAGCTCCGTCCGTGTTGTCCGAGCAGCCTGTGCAGTGGCCCCCGTGGCCCGTGGAGCGATACAGCTCGGGGTCGAAGTAGCACTCCTGAGACCTCCCATTGCAGTCACAAGCTGCAAAGAGAAGGGACCATCAGTGAGCAGCCCATGGAGAGATCTGAACCCAACACCCACAGAACCCACGCTGCAAAGCTTGATGTGAAGTTGTAGGGGAGCAGGAGTGGGAGCCTTGAGCCACATCGAGACCTACACACAGAGACCCCAAGGTATTTGTGCCCCCATGGGAAGGGGAAAGCATGTTCTTGTGGTGGTGAATGAGGCTATAACCAGGAAATAGACTATACTCATCTACATCCAAAAGAAAACCAGCTTTTTTGGCCCCACTCCACAGTCTCGTGGTATGTTAAGGGGTTGGAATGGACCTTAGAGATCATCTAGTCCCAACCTCCTGCCCTGGGCTGGGACACCTAACACTAGACCAGGGTGTTCGAGGCTTTATCCAACCTTTGGCTTTGAACACTCCTTTGAACACCCTTCCTTCCACATCAGGCTGCCATTTGCAGCCAAAATGCTGCCCTCCCACACAGCAACACCAATCTCCACCATCCAAACAAGCGTGAGGATAGCAGCAAGGCTGACTCCATGCTGCCAGGAGAGCTTCTGCCCTGGATTGCAAATCCCATCTGTGTAGGCAGCAGGAGCCCCCAGTCTCACCAGCCTGTCGAGGGAAGCTACGGGTCTTGGCCAGACAGCTGGGAGTGATCAACACACACAGAGGTCAGACAGGAAAAAAGCTTTTCTGTCTGAAAAAGCTTCCCCATAAAGTAAACTACCAGGAGCTGTGGTCTGCGACGCAAGACCAAGCAAACTGGTGTTCCGTGACGGAGAGCCGCACGCGCGGGCCAGGACTGTCGCAACAGCCTCAAAACTGGAGCAAAGAGGTGACAAGTAACTGTAAAAACCAATAACCCAAACACAAGAGCAAGTCAGCAGATACTAAATGAGGAGCTTCAAGGGGCAGTTATACTCCAGCATACTCAATAGAGATATTTTTCCTCTGGATCTCATAAAGTACAAGTCCGTACAGCTCTTTCCTAGAGGTCACTGCCATCCTTCTCCTTTTTAGGGATCTACCAGAAAACTCCTACAGGATAGGTGTGGAATGACCAGCAATCCCATGAACTGTGCTTAACACTGGCTAACTACAGCTGAGACAACTTAAACCCAGGCAGGACCAACTCCTGGCTGTCAGCAGAGGCAGCAGGCCCAAGCCCTGACAGATGTGCCCCCCACACGTGGCCACACGCACGCAAGCACTCGTTGGCACTCTCCGCTGTGGCTCTCCTCCACGGACGGTCATTGAAGAAAGGAAGGCACTTCTCACAGTCCACCCCAAAGGTGTTGTGCTTGCAGTTGCAGACCAGCTTGCCAAGCTCGTTCTTCACGCACTCACTCGCGTGCCCGTTGCATTTGCACCTGGTTAACGAGAGACAAGGAGCAGGTATTGAAACTCCAGGGAACCAGGTCACTCAAGCAATCCCTAAAAACACAGCCCTGATCTGAAAATCTGAGGTGAGACAAATTCAAAGGTAGATGGTCACAACAAAATTGAGAATGCAACTGCTGTGGTTAAGTTGGAGATGAGAAGGCTCTGGGGGGGCATTGTTGAGGCCTTCTACAGGGTTTACAGGATGGGAAGAAACTTGTTACCAATGTCTGTAGTGACAGGACAAGGAGCAATGATTCAAACTGAAAGAGCATGAGTTTAGATTGGACGTAAGTAAGGAATGTTCCACAGTGAGGGTGGTGGGACACTGGCACAAGGTTCCCTCTGGCCCCACCCCTGGAGTGTTCGAGGCCAGGTTAGATGGGGCTTGGAGCAACCTGGTCTAGTGGAAGGTGTCCCTGCCCACAGTGGGGACTGGAGGATCTCTGATGGTCCCTGTCCAACCTAAACCCCTCTGTGAACCAAATAGGTGCAGTATGCACCAGGCAGGCTCTGAGAAATGGGAGAAAGTTAACCAATTCCTTTGCAGTCTCACTAAACCAGAGTTAGCTGAGTAGAAGCAAAGATATTGTTGGTTTTAGGTTAGCAAATTCTCCAAAGCTTCTCTCTCCTGAGGGACCAGAACACAGTGTGCTCACTGGGTGTGTGCTACTGTGGTATCAGTAAGGAATGAAATAGCACAAAGGTGACTAACACAGAAGCCCAGGGACCTCCAGACTGGAGGTGCAGCCAATACCAATCCCCTTGTGGCTAAATCCCAGTTTCAGGACTGCTCTCCACAAACAGCCCAAAACACCACACTGGTGTCAGCTCTGTGTATTAAAACATTTTGTCATCAACTACTGCAGGTTTACACATTCTGCAATAGCCTTTGGCAAAAGGAACAGACAACCATGACTGTGCTGTGCAGTCCCAGATCTTCACAGGAGATAGCTCCCAAAATACATGTGAAACAGAGACACTCAGATTTTCTACTTTGTTCTAGACTACAGATAAAGCCAGAGAACAACTAAAACCACACTAAAAAAACCCACACAAAGCACAGGGCAGAAAAAAAAAAGACTTTTTTGTTTCACCTTTTTCTTACTCTTTTCACCTTCCACTCTCCCAAATCACTTAATATTTCATCTTATCAAGGAAAAAATACTCAATCTGTGTCAGCCCTGAAATGACAGCCACAAAAGCTTTTACACTGCAATTGCAAGCTTCATGAGATTCATTCTACTGCACTTTTGGTTTAGGATAGTCAATAAAGACCAGAGCCTAATGGTATCATGTGAGTACCATCAAAATCTTTAAAGCAGCCTAGTAATCCTGACCAAAACTTTTAGTAAGTACAGAGTTTTACTGTCTACTCACCTACCACCCACAGCAAAATCAGAAATTGCATAGTAGTAAGACTTGAGAACTTTTGGGTCATTGAAAACTTCATCTCCGAACGTGTTCAGCCGATTGAGGGTCACTCTGATGTCTGTAGCTGTCACCCATTCCTGGAGCAGACAGAAATCCCATCAGATGAAACATCAAACACACCCCATGTCATTAGCAGTTCTATTAATGAAGTTACTCATCGATCAGCAAGTTCCTTCCTCATGGTTCTCCCCTCTGCACCTCAGAAGCTCACATGCTCCTGCCCCAGAGCCCTCACACCACATTCTTTTGGTTCAAATGCCTTTTCCAGACCCTGCTCCTCTCTGGATACCCTTTCCAATGCCATTCACATCCTAACTGCGCTCAGCTGGGAAGCAGTGAGGAACCTCTTCAGCAAAATGTGCAATGCAGGCAATTATGTGAGCTGGCTAATTGTATGGATTTCCCAGTCTGCAGCTTTGCTGCAGAGCTATGCAGCACCAGTGGGCAAAGCTTTAGGGCACACTTGTCTGCAGACACAGACAGACAGATGAATGAGGCTGGGGGAGGCTGGGGAAGACAAACAGGCAGATCTGACTCGTTACACAAGAGCTTTTCATAATATTTACACAGCATCTTCAACACTCTGCCCTGGCCTCCTGCAGCAGCAGCCAGCAGTGCAGCCTGGCCCTGAAACTCACAGCACCTTCAGCCAGCAGCTGTCACCAGCACCTCCTTGGTTTTATGACCGTTTTTACAATGCCATTTTCCTTCAAACACCATAAGAAGAGGCAGAAGAACAACATCCCTGGACGTACAACTGCACTGCAGCTGCGTCACCACTCAGCCTGTACGATAAAATGGACTGAACTCCAAACACTGGCATAATCACATGGAAATGCCAAGAACAAAGAACATGTTTTCTTCAGCTCTGAGAAGTAACACCAGAGGTTTGTACACACTTTAGGAAACCAGCACTCAGGTCTGTATCCCTTTCAGAGAGACCAGAAAATTACACACATCACTAACTTGAAATCTCCCCCTTCACCTTAAAGATAAGACGTGGTTTTCTGCAAGGGTTAGCTACACCACCAAGGTGGCCAAATGGGTTCTTTCCCATCTCAGGAGTTCTTCTCCCTTTCCCATTAATCTTTATTTGTGTTTGCAGAAGTGAGCCCCACCAGATTCCACTCTCCTGCCCGCGGATCAGAGCGCTCACGGCTCAGTCTGCTCCTGCTACTCTGAGAGCAAAGGCAAGTGGTAGTGATCAGAGCTCCCAGAGGAAGACAAGGAGCCCCAGTGGTACAAACCCCACAGCTTCAGCTCCTTGTTGCAATATAAGCTGGAGAAGTCCTCAGACAGAACCCAACGTGGCAAGTAAATCAGGTAAACTGCTGCTCCTAGTATGCTCCTGACCACGGTCCAACCACCACTGTGAATGCCAACCACAAAAAAACCCAACCAAAACCCCCTTGCCAAGCCACTTGCAAGAGAAAAGCACAATGCATAAAATCAAGCTCCCCTGCTGCAACACACATGTAAGAGAACAGGTTAGAGATTCCAAAAATAAGTTATTTGTTTAGAAGAATCTCACACTTCTTCATGTTTTTCTGCTCAAAATATACACGCAGATGCCTCAAACGTTGATTGGACTGAGGCTTTACCTTCTTCTGTGCTTGTATCTGAAACAACAGCACAATACCCACAGCTGCTTTCTAAGCAGGGAGATTGCAGCCATCCTCTGTGGAGTTCCATGATGCCTAGACAAATCACCCTTAATGCCACCAGTTCAAGAGTTCAAGTCTTTGTGGAAAACTGCAATGTCCATCCCAACTCAGCTGTGCAAGGGCCTTTCAGGATGAGTAAGGGCTGTAGTGCAGCTCAGTGGGCACAAAGCCACCATCCATGACTCAACAGACTCAACTCAGCCCACCTGACTGATTTTTCCCCAGCACATACCTGTAGCACAGGGCTGTTGTCGAAGTTATAGGCGCTGGGACGCCCTTCCAGCGTTGAGAAGGCCACGTTGCCCCCGGTGAGAGGGGAGATGTCACTGAACTCATCGGTACAGAGTGCCTGCTGCTCATCCTCCCCAGTCCGAATGAAGCCACGATTGACTTTGTGGTAGGTGCTCTCACAGGAGCCACTGTAGTACTGGTAGGGCACCCACGGGCCATCCTCCCTCGTGCGCTTGTAGATGGCAAAGCTCTCTGGCCTGCTGGTGTGGAACTTGAGCCGCACGTACGTGATGTCAAAGGCCTTTCCTGCCGAGGAGAGGAGACAGACATGAGTCAGAGAATCATCAAGGTTGGGAGAGACACTTAAGATCATCAAATCTAACCATTAACCTGTCACTAAAGAGTGACAGAAATTAAAAACTGCCCTAAGAGCTGCACTGCAATTCTCTCACTGGAGAAAATTCTAGTATTATCCAGAAGGATGAGCATATCCAGTAACACCAGACACACCTCTTCCAGTCTGGCACTGTCACTCCCAGCAAAGACAAGGTGAAGGAACCAAAGGAGATGTTGAGGGCAGGCTGAGCAGATCGATAAACAGATCTACAGGCTTCTGTGCAACCTAACACACATCTCACAAACTGCAGTTTTCTTCTGCAGAGATTCCCAACACTTTCTCTTACCCCAACAGATGACAGAACACATCAAATCCACAGTTTGTGGGTATTTAAGACCAGGCCCAAGTTAACCATGATATCTGATGATACTTCTTCCTAATATCAAAATATCTCTTCTCCCTCTCTACTCTGTTCTTGTGAGACCCCAACTGGAGTTCTGCTTCAGCCACTGTCCTGCACCATCCCTGCTGGCTGAGGGGCACACTCCCAGGATGAGGCATGCAGCTGTGTGCCAGCTGTTCCTACTCCACCTTGGCAAGCAGACTGTGCATGATCAGGACACCCTGGAGCACGTAGGGAGCTTGCTAAAACAATGTGAGGTTTGTCTGGAACAAAACCTTGGGTGCTTAGACCCCACCACAGTCTTTAATGCTCCCACCACCTCCAAGAAAAACACTGCTCTGGGCAGAGCTCGCAGCCACCACTGAGTCCTGAAAAGAAAAAAAAGCCACTAGAAGAGTTTCAACTGATTGAGAAACAGATTTTGTTCAGGAGTCACATGGATTGAACCTCAACTTGTAAAATGAATGAACTCCATCATGTTAAATTTTAACGTGAGGCTTTGCACCTGCTCGAGTGTTCACCTCCTTTCACAGGTGAGAGCAGACCAGACGGCACCAGGCAACAAGAGCAGTGTGTCCCTCAAAGCACACATGCAGAACCTGATAGCAATGAATCAGGTCATGAACTACACTCCTGGCTCATGGGCCTCCCACTGATTAGACTGGGACCAGCCTGGATTAGGTATGTCACACCCAGAGACCTGCTGGCACGAGGGAGGAACCTTTGTCCTTTCTGGTCGCTGGAACATCAAAGCAGCAAGAGAATCACAGCAAAGTGTCCAGAAACCAGCATTGCAAAAAAAGAAAAAAGTAAAGATCAAGACATACAGCACCCAAACCACTTACACTACACGTTCCAAGGATAGAAAATGACCAATATGTTGTGTTTAGAGCCACCCATCAAGATGTTCTGCCTGCGTGTGACATGCAGGACAGCTGGGGTGTTGTACAAACCCCCAACACTTCCCACAGAATGCCCTTCCCTATTTATATCATGTGTGCAGTTATGGATGACCTAAGCACAAGACTGGAAGCCAGACATTCACCATCTGTGGCTCTTGCTCAGTCCTAGCTCACTGTTGGCTTGGGGTTATTTAATGAGATCTTCTTACACACAGAAGACAAGCAAGAAACAATCACACCACTAATGCCAAACTGCTTCCACATGTGCTTGAAACTCCAAAGAATCATCACTCTACCCTTAGGTAGCTTAGACACCTCCTCCCCTTGCAGCCCAATACAAGAGATTAATCCTGTTTCCATGTATTTGGGAGTATTTTTTCTTATGGATCTCAATGCAAGGCAAGAAGCAGCCACTGAATGTACAAACCAGTCATAGAATCATCAAGGCTGGAAGAGACCTCTAAGATCATTAACTCCAACAACCCACCAGCACTACCACTGCAGCCCCTAAACTATATCATCCAGACACCTCTCGAAGACCTCCAGGGATGGTCACTCCACCATCTCCCTAGGCAACGTATGCCAATGCCTGACCACCCTGTCCCTCCCAGGTTTCTGTTCCTCCTGCTATATAGTCTGTTCTCAAGAAGAGAGCTCCTCCCTGAAAGCCAAACAGGCTTCAGAGGTGAAGAGAACACACATGCAGAAACCCAACACACACACACGAGCCAATACGTTGGACATACACAACTATCTTTTTCAGGTCCATGGTAAACTAATCCAGGATATGCTCCATATCTTTTCCAGGTGAAGGCAAAGAACCCCAGATGCAAATGGCTCCTCATTCTTCTGCAGGACAAACCCAGTGTACATGCAACCTCCAACCTGCCAGCCCATCCCAGAACTTAGCCCTAACACCTCAAATGGGCAGCAACAAAAAGGAAGACCTCTCTGGTGGTTTTATTTCCAGTAAAACTGTCATCAGCCTAAAGAGAAAGTTTCCTTTGAGCTCACATGCTAAAATAAAGCAAAATATGAGGCTGAAAGTCTGTCCTGGTGGGATTTCTTTGGGCAGCTTTCATGAGAAGTAAAAATAATGAAGACATCAGGCAAGATCAGCCATCCCATGAGTCAAGAAGGAAAAAAAATGAGACAGAGCCAACAGAATGAAGATCATTGGATTAAATTGTGTCAGGACTGTCAGGAATACCCTGCTCCTTGGACTTGGGGTGGTTGGTTTTCTTCTGCTAGCACTGCATTCCTCTGGCGTGAAGCAAAATCCCTGTGTTCAGGCTCCACCGAGATGGTTTTGGGGAGGAAACGCTGCAAAAGAATCCTGGGAATGAAGAGGGGGCTGGGTGTGTGCTCTCCCTCACTCGTACATCGTTCTGCTCTGGCTGGAAGGTCAGGTCACAGCCTGCACGTCCCGGAAAAGCACTATTTTCCTCCCTCCCCACTCTAACTGGATTACCATCTCTGTTCCCTGACAAGGTCTCCCACAGCTCCTAGCGAAAAACCCAGCTCAGCTCAAGGCACAACACATGCCAACTGCACATTTTCCATGGAAACCTCTCGTGCTAAATGGCAACGACCCTCCCTTTTTCCCCTCCAGTTTTACACCAGGCCAAAGAAAACACACTGGAACCCCTCCTGACCGAGCAGCCCAGGTGAAAAAGCCATTTCTTTGCAGCTGGCAGAGGAACTCCTTGAGAAAGGCTGTTAATGGCATTAACGAGGAATGCAGTTAATGCACAGAGAGGGGCTGCGTGCCAGTGCCAGATCAGCTTGCCGTGGGTAAATACTGCTGGAACAATGGAGTTTACCCAAGAGCAGCTGACACAGTGTGGAAATGTGTTTCCCCACTGTTCAGGCTGAATGTAAAAGCTGTGCTTAGCAGCCTGGCAGCTAGCAGAGCCCTTCGAGGTTGTAGAGCCTTTTTCTAGCAAAGATAAGCAGCCCAAGTTGCTTTCAAGTCTTGCAGGGCTGAATAAACATATACAGCTCTTACCCTGAGAAATGGTGACAGCAGTAACCAGGTGAAAGGCAGCTTTAAACGTTTCACTTCCAAGACAGAAAGCCATTGTTCTCCTGTTCCTAGAAGCCGGTAATTATTTTGATCTCAGTTTAGCTTAGAAGTGTCTGATAGCGTCAAGTGTCAGATAATATTTCCCTCTGTGTACTGAAAAGTGGCAGATCTGTTCTGCAGGAAGAACTCCAGATGCTGGAATCAGTGACCACAAGCTCAGTGCTCCACAAGGCTCAACCTGACATGTCTTTAAAGTACCCAGAGCTCAAAACCATGAGCCACAAGTCTTAAAACTGCATCTTTTGCAATGCATGAAGCTGTTCACCAGTAAGTGACAAGGTGACAAGGCTGAGGAAGTTCAGCCTGGAGAAGAGAAGGGACCTCAGAGCACCTTCCAGGAGCTGAAGGGGCTCCAGGGAAGCTGCAGAGGGATCTGTGTTAGGAGCTGCAGGGACAGGACAAGGGGCAATGGGGAGAAATGCAAAGAGGGAAACTTAAACTAGATATTGGGAAGAAGCTTTTTTCCTGTGAGGATGGTCAGACACTGGCATGGGTTGCCCAGGGAGGCTGTGGCTGCAGAAAATCTTTAAGACCTTTCTCTACAGTAAGCAAGCACAGGCATAAGCCTTCAAGACAGTATTGCAATTATGGATTCAACAGAGCAAGTCTGGGTGCCTGAAGCAGTGGCACTGGAGACATTCAGCATTGTTTGGTTCAGAGGATACTTCCCCCCACAACCTGTTCACATTGTTGGGCTGACCATCACTGCCAGACATCCTCAGCAACCACAGCCCTTCCTCAGCAGGGTTAGTGCCCAGTGCTCCACCAGGAAACATGCCATGCTGAAAACCATAAAGAGAGACCAGAAAAAAAATGTAAGCAAATGCCACTGAGATCTTTAGAAACTCCTCCCTTTTCCCCCAAGTTAGGAATTTGTCCCTACACACAAAAGGCCTCCTTGTGTTCAGGCCCCTCAGAACGGATGGATAATTTACATCAGGAAAACTGTCCCGCCAGCTGGCACGGTGACTACAGGCACTGAATTGTGAGCAGATGCCTGGCTGAGATAAGCCCAGACACACTTGCCTCCTTCATTACCCATCCACTTGCATCCCCTGCACGTGGGAAGAATCCACACTACCTCTTCTGCACTCCCTCAGTGCATCCTCCCAGCAGTGAGCTTGAAAGTACAGCCATTTTTCCCTGGAAGGGAAAAATAATCCACCCAAGATTGCACTGGGCAACAAACCAAGTGTTCGTAGATTTGTTGTCAGCAAAATCCACTGAGCAGCAATGAAATGGTTAAACTTGGCTGTTTCTCTTTTACTTGGTTCCTGTTTCAAGGCAGCTTTTTTCACACAGGTGCCTGCTGACAACTTACCTCTTAGTAAAGGTTAAAAGAATTTAAAACAAACAAAAAATTACAGTCTACTTAGTACTTTTTGATTGGATTTCATTTCCATTTCGCAGTGACAAGGCAGAGAACAGGCAATTACCACTGGCATTTCATTTTGCTCTCGCCTGACCTGTTTCCCTGTCATTCATAGAACCATCAGAGCTGGAAGAGACCTCTGAGACCATCAAGTCCAACCATTAACCTGTCACTGCTGGAACCCCTAAACCAGATCCTCCAGCACC